CTCTCTGTCTCTCATTCTCTCTCTCTCAAATAAATAAATAAAATCTTTAAAAAATAAATAAATAAATAAATAAAAGAAGTACGTCGCAAATACCTTTAGAACCAATGGGACCAATTTTTCCATGGCGACCCACACTGCCCTTCTGTCCTTTGTCACCCATGTCTCCTGAAAAAACAAGATCAAAGTTGGTTGGTGCACAGGTGATTCAGTATGCTTCCCGTTTAACATCACACGCTCGCACACGCTCGCACACGCTCGCACACGCACCGGAGCAGACGGGAAGGGCGTAACGCTCAGCTTACTGTGAGTGACCCCAGAAGGCTCTGCAAGGTCCCTTGTTGACAGATTTCCCAGCGGAGGACACACCTCTCCCAAAAGCCGCACGCCCTGGGAACGGAGGAGACCAAGGGTGCGTCCCCTACCCCGCCCTCAGCCCGGCCCCTCCTGCTCTGCAGTTACATCGGTAGAGAGGGGCTGTCCTCCATCCCCTCCCCAGAGCAAGTCAGTGGGCTGCTCTCGGGAGCTGGGATGCCCACCGGGGGAGGTGGGCGCGGTGGCAGAGCGTTGTTCCTCTCTGGGAAGCTGAGGGGAGCAGAGGGAGGAGGAGGGAGAGGAGGGTCCAGGGAAGGCTTCGTCACACGCTTCCTAGGGAGACTAGTCCTCCAGCAGGGCCTGGTGACACACCACCTGTCGGTCCCTCCGGCGCAACTTGGAGCGTCGCCACCCCAGGCTGCCCCCTCGCCTCCATGCTGCCCGTCGCCACAGGCCGGCCCGGTGACTGTGCTCACGCGTGACCCACAGGACCGTCCCCGCTGACCAATGCACTAGGACCCAGAACGGCGGTCCACACCCGGCCACGGCCCAGATCCCGCCGGCGGAGGGGCTGTTCTCCCCCAGAGTGCACTCACACGCCTGGCATCCCTCCTGTGCTCGCTGCAGACTGCAGACCGAGCCAGCAAGCGTCAGACTAATACACAGAGAACACTTGGTAAAAGAAACATGTAATCAGACTTAATTTAATAATCTGAAACTAAATGAAATTCAGCCGAGCAACTCTGCAGGAGAGAGATGACAGGAAGGACAGCGCGTTGCATATGGATAAGGCTTTGTCCTGCTCTGACACCGACTCACTCCTTGAACCGGAGGACTTCCCAGGCGGGAACTGTCAGCTTTGCGACATTCCCTAAGAAGTTAAGGATAGAGGTCAGAGGACAGAAGACAGGCTTCGGGACGAGCTCGGGCTGACAGGGACACACAGCACCGCAACACAGTCCCACAAACTGATTCACAAAGCACCCTCACGTCCACTCTCTTACTGGGCTACAGAAGTGGTTCCCTGCACAGACAAGGCCCCGAAGGCCTGAGCCGCTTGTCCAGGTCAAGTGCCGGCGTATGGCAGGACCAGGACAGAGCTGTGACCTGCTGATCTGAGGCCCAGCGCCCCTTTCCCAGTGCCACGGTAGCGGGGGCCCCGGGGAGGCCGAGGCCAGGCTGGCCCAGCCGTGACAGCGGCGAGCTGGCCGTGTGCCGGGGACATAGGGCGGCAGGACTTAGACCGGTGTGGGGGATGGGGAGTGATCAGACACCTGTGACAGGTGTGTTGTAACAGGAGAGGCGCTGTGAGGAAGCCCTGGCCAGTGGGGGGTGGAGGAGGGCATCCAGGGGGGCACACAAACCTCCGGGGGGGAGTTAGAAGAGAGTGACAAGACAGGATTCATGCTTGACGCGCATCGGTGACACGCAGAGGGGCTGGAAGGGGGCAAGGACACCCGGCCAGGGAACAGACGGGAGCTGGAGGCAAGTGCACTGGAGGGGAGTCGGGCTGGGAACGGGAGGTGGCGGGGAGAGCCTGGGCACGCGGGGCGGGGGACAGGAGCAGGAAGTGGCTGTTCCCGTGTCCCGCAGGGCTGGGTCTGCAAGGGGCCCCAGACCAGCAGGTGAGTGGTAATGATGATGTCGCCCCGCAGGAGGGGCAGGCCCCGGGGACCCTGCGGGGCGTTGGAGAAGGGGGCGCCCGCGGGGTCAGAGCTGTGCTGTGAGACAGGTGGGACAGGGACAAGCGGGAGGCCCTGGCCGGAGCGGGGTCAGCAGCTGAACACTGCAGAGAAGCCTCGGGATGAGGACAGGCACAGACCTCTGGCTATGGTCACGGGGACCTGGGGGGGGGTGTCCCAGAGGGGCAGAGTCAGCGGCAGCGAGCAAGGAACGGCGGGGTGTGGAGGTGGCGCCCCGAGTGGGAGGCAGCCCCTGCAAAGCCCCGACCGCACCGGCGTGGGTCCAGGGGTCCATGGGGGCAGCGCTGCGAACTGGGTATCTGCGCCCCCCGTCTCCATCTCGCCAGCAGGACCCAGCCCTGCCCCCCTCCGCGGCCAGAGGACCCTGAGTCACTGCGAACCTGCTCAAGGCTCCTGCCCGTCCTTCCTGCCAGCAGGTCCCGGAACAGGCTCAGCCTCCTTAACCCTCCTGGTGAGCCAGCAGGACAGCCAACAAGAACCGCTTCAATCAACCCCCGAGCCCAGCGCGCAGCCCGTCACACACTCACCGCCGGTAGCCCTGCCCCAGACGGCGCCGCCGTCACCGCTAAGTGCTGGCCTGTAGGGAAACATGCCAAAAACTCCCCGTAGCAGAGGACACGCTACCGGCCACTCTGAGGGTGATGAAGGGCTGTTACTTCACGCTGAAGGAGGAGCAGGTGCTCGGTGCCCGCGGCCAGTGGGGTCGGCCGCCACCCAGCCCATCCGCTGTCTCCAAGCCACCGTCTGGAACGCCTCTGGGACCCTTCCACACAGCCGTCTTGAGACAGACCCAGGGATTAGAACGTGGCTCTGCCCCGTGCACCCAGTGGCTCTGATTCGGCGTGCCGGAGAGACGCAGAGCTGTTTACCCCGGCCCCACGACGCGGCCCTCCTGACATTCAAGCACTGTTCTCTCTGGAATTTTCCCTCCAGCTTGCCCGCCCCGGCTGCCTCATCCTCTGGGCAAAGCCCATGCTGTCTGCTCCTCCGAGGACTGACCCCCCACCCAGGCTGAGTGGCCCTGCATGGCCTGCCCACCGTCACCGGCCGCAGGGACTGAAGTGTGTCCCCCCCCAGTGCTGAAGCCCTGACCCCCGGTGATGGGGGCTGCAGGCGGGCTTGGCAGGTGAGCAGGGTGCGATGAGGCCACGAGGGGGCCCCAGCATGGGACTGGTGCCCCTGCAGTAGGAAGAGACCCCAGAGCTCGCTGTCTCCAGCACGAGAGCAGACAGCCGTCTGCAGTCCAGGACAAGCTCCTCGGCAGAGCCCGGCCAGGCCAGCACCCGGATCTCGGACTTGCAGCCCCGACACTGTGAGAAATAGACGTCTGCCGTGGCAGCCCGGCCGACCGAGTCCCCTCCCTTGTCCCGACGCTCGCGCCCACTGATAAGGTCAGAGTCCCAGAGCTGACTCCAGGTGTTTCTGCTCAGCTGCTTGCAGAGAGCACTCTGCAGAAAATCAATGTTCCCCGGATGCGTGCCCCGCTCTCAGTGCCGGACCAAGGCCTGCGTCCCCACTCCGGGGCCTCCTCCCTCCCTCAGCCTTCTTCCAAACGGCTAAGCCCTCTGCTCCCTAACTCTGGAGGGTGCCCCCTTCCCGCGGTCTGGAATGGGTCACGAGTGCTGGAGAAGTTGGGCAGAACCGCAGAATAAATGTCAGGAGGACCTCAGTGTTTATGCCTTTCTAATTTTCATGTCTCCCTAAAACTTGAGGTCCTTCTGTTGTTTTCACTCAGCGGTCAGCAGCGGTCGGCTGGGACATTCTGTACCCCGTCCTCACGGGGAAGCTCAGACCAAGTGAGTAAACACAAGCTCCATACGGCGCTCTGACGAAGACAGCGCCCCAAGCAGGAGGCCGCGGTGCAGACCGTCCAAGCGAACCCTCTCTTCAGATGGGAAGACAGAGGCCCAGAGACACCCAGGGACTCGCACCTGCACTGACCAGCTGGGAGGATTATTTCCAACACACGGGACACCCCCCTGAATTCCCACGAGATGGGCAGGGTTGCCAGAGCCCGGAGAATAAAGCAATGTGCCTTCCCACTCCAAAGCCCGAACACTCCAGAGGAGTCTGGGCGCCACATTAGCGTACACACTGGCTGTGAGTGTGGACCCATCACGTGAACGAAGGGTCTGCTGTCCGCCAGGAAGACCCCACCTAGAAAGGTGGGGGGGAGCTCTTCTTCCTGAGGCCCCAGCAGAGAGAAACTCAAAACGAGCCCTGCCCCCTCTTCTGCCGCCCAGACAGCTCCTGCGGCCCGAGCACCCAGCCGGAGGAGAGCGCTGGACCGAGACACCGGCCCTCAGAAGCATAGCTGGTAAAATGCCTTCCCCGCCCCCACAGAACGATTAATTACCGGGCCATTTCGTCAGCGGAGGGATGCCCAAAGAGTCCAGCACACATCCTGCTGTCGTGAATAAGTTATAACCTGAGGATGACGTGAGAGCAGGTGGCTCTCGGCCCATCTCTGCATCGCACAGCCAAATGTTAACACCAAGTGCCCCTGTCCCCAGCAGGGCCCGGGGTCAGCTCCCGCCCTTGGAGAAGCGTGCGACGCGGCCTGGGGCGCTGAGGGAAACCGGAGGCCTCACGGAGCAGGGTGACGGAGGCAGTCACTGAGCCCCGACCAGAAGCCCGCCACGTCGGCACCCCGGCCTCGGCAGCTTCCAGAACCCTGAGAGAATAAACATCGGTGTTTAAGCAGCTCCGTCTGTGGGATTTGTTACAGCAGCCCTAGCAGACTAGGACACTTTCTTGGCCCCACGAGGGAAAGGAGTTCAGAGAGGCCAAATGGCCCACATCGAGTCACACAGCACGCGAGGGAAGACTGTTGTTCCGTGACCCAGAGCACGGACTCCTGCAGTCAGGCAGACGAGACCCCGGTCCCAGTCCTCTGCCCATGCAGTCTTGGACACGTTACCGCCCACTCTGAGCCTCAGCGTCCTTGTCTGTCAAGAGGCATCGGAGTGGTGGTCAGCCCCCGGGTCGCCGAGCACCTGGTAATGTGAGTTTCACCCAGGCCGAGTCCTCTGTTCCGCGTCCGGGGCTCCAAACCCGCACCGCCGCCGGGGAGCAGTGGCCATGCTCCTGGCACCAGGGACGTTCTGTATAGACCAGTCCCAGCAGGAAGGCTGCATCTTCAGGAGCTGG